GCAGTGTTGTTTATCCAAACTAAAGGTGTTTATCGGTCGGCTAATTCTACGACTCTAGTGCTGTTTATCCAAACTGAAGATGTTGTCAATTACCACCTTAGTGTTGTTTATCCAAATTGAAGATGTGTTGGCATAAGGGTAAAATAAAAAATCTCAAGATATTTGAGAGGTTTCGTGTAGAGTGAGAATTTGCACAAGGCATATTTGTGTGTTGATTTGGAGGGGCCTTTGAATGATGCACCCCTTCTCTATTTATAGTAATAATTCCCACATGGCCAAAGTAGAGTTTCACTCATACTATAATTCTTTGATCAAATTTGAATGAGCTTCGGCCAGTCCTAATCCATGTAGAACTATGAACCCAACCCTCTTATTCTCCAAATTCAACCCTTGATTCTTGGCATCTTCCTGATTCAAAGTATAATTGGTATCTAAGTACTCCTTGTTCCATTAGGACTCAACTGACTCCCATATCCAGATAAGATATATAGGATTTGGCCAAATCCCACTTGGCTGGGCCTTCCTTGGGTATATTCCAAAATACCCTAATTCCATATACTTGGCCAAGCCCATAATTATTCTCGGTCCAAAACTTTCATTTTGAATCCAAACAATTAAATGAATTAATACTCATAAACAAGTAGCATAACAACTGAATTGAAAATGAATAATTTAGGAGAAAGATACAATTTCGACCAAAAAAAAGAGAAAGATACAATTGTTACATAGTCAAAGTCATTTAAATGCATAATAAGAGAAAATGATAAAAAATAAAAAATAAAAACACATGACTTTAGGTATGATCCCTTTGAGATACAAATAAAAAAGAAAAAGATATAAACTAAGCTCTTGCTATACACTCATGTTTTTTTTTTTAACAAATAATAGCATCTACATTAAGAAAGTGGGAAGTCGGCTAAGCTTGCAAATTTACAATGGGTTTGCCATAATAATGTGTTTCTTTTACCCTTTGCGAGAATCGAGCCTAAGACCTCTTATTTACAAGTGAAATAGAATACTAATATACCGTAGTACTAAGTCACCACTCATGCTTATTTTTGAACTTTAGAATATATAACTAAAAGGAAATATAAAAAAAAAAAACAAAATAAAAAAGGGGCGTGCACAAAATAAGGGAGAAGGATTCTCTGCCCTCTATTCTTATTCTCTTTCATCCCCCCTCTCACACATTACTTTTTATCTTATTTTCTCTATAAAAAAAATCAATATAAGATGTTGACGTGGTTTAACCGTAACCGTTCAAATAAGGGGTACGGAAAGGTAGCGAGATTAGAGGATAGAGAATCCTCATTCCAAAATGAGAGAATGAGCATACGAAAATTATTTCCCTTTTTTCTTCTCTGTGTAATTACTAATTCACCACTTCTTTTACTGTTTATGTTACCAAAAGATCAAGTAGTAGAAAAGGTGCTGCAGTGGGTTCAAATTCAAATTCAAAACTATTGGGAAGGTCATGGGGCTTCTTCTCTCTGAGTCTCAGCAGAATTGGAAATCAAAAGAAAGGAGTAAAAGAGGTTTGTGATATTTGCTTGGAAGATTTTGAGGCAAAAAAAGCAGGCCATGGATCTCAGCGGTGCCCACAAGCTCCACTCCAGTTGCCCTCTTCCATGCCTTCACGCCCATCCGTATTGCCCTGACTGTAAGACCCCTGTTTGTTGCTCTTAAATTTCATGCCTTCACGCCCATCCGTATTGCCCTGACTGTAAGACCCCTGTTTGTTGCTCTTAAATTTCAGGGATACGAAGGGGAATGGACTGCACAGTTCCCTTTCTTGGTTGCGTGTAAAAATTTTGTTTTGGTGTGTTTCGACACCAATCTTGTATCATATTACAAAAGCACTGTAACTCTGCCATGTGCTAAATTTACGAGTTTGATGGTTTCCTTTGTTCAAGTGGCTTGTAACCCGTCATTCAGTACTATTGTCTAATGGTATTCATCTTCCTTTGAAAGTAAGAGGTCTTAGATTCGGATTTCGTAGATGGCGAATTCGATATCCAATTAAGTTGCCCACTGTGTGGCTTAGCCGAACTCTCATTCTCCTAAGTGTAAAAATATCAATGCATTAAAAAAAACTAGCTTGTAACTCAAGTATAAGGAGTACGTGTTTCTGTACCTGTATTCGAGGTTCTGTGTTTGATCGTTTTGGTTGTGACCTCAAAACAGCATCAACCCAGTAAACTAGTGTTCCATTTTTTTCTCTTGGCGGCTCAAAACATTGCCAACCCTAAAAACTAGTGTATGCACATGGTAAGGCCGAAGGGCCTAGCCTATAGATGGAAATTGAGCTTGATATTTTTACAAGATACCCAAGGGGCCCAACTTATGCATATGCATTCTTCTATACAATTGATGTTATGCTTTAAACTAATTAAATTATGAGAAAAAAAATCGAGTAATGTATCCACTCTAGCTAACGTAGCTATGTCCATATCTACAACTTAAACAAGGGAAAGTTCACGTGAAACATAGACCACAAATAGCATAACTAATACCAATTCGGTTATGCCACTTAGTACTACAATCTAATGGTATTTTCTCTTTACTTGTAAGTGAGTGGTCTTAAGTTCGATTCTCACCAAAGACGAATTTGAACGACATTATTGTCGGCTCATTGTGAGGCTAAGTCTATCCTCCTTTCTTTAATATAGATAATATCTTCTGTTAAAAAAAAATTAAAAAAAGGTCATATTTTAAGTCTTTATTGAAGGGGTGTTTTTTTTTTTTTCTTTTAATTTGGATGGACTTTCACGTGAATTTTTTTTTTTTTAGTGGACTCATCTTATGAGAATTAGTTATGCATTGATTGATTAGTGTTGTATTAACTTACTAATTGGTTACACTAATTTGAGTGTTATTGACCATTAGTAGCATAAATAATTTCAGTAATAAAATACTTGTTAAATGAGTTAAAAAAGTCATGAGTCAATTTGATCATTTTTGAACTATAAAGGTTGAAGCGAACATAAACAAAATTACAATACGATTTAACCAACTTGTTTTTGTTAATAGGGTGAGAGAATTCGAATTGGAGATATTGAGAAGAAAAGTATTACTAACTAGTTAATAATTCAGTTGGGTTTAATTATAGTTATTTTTATTAAAAAAAAAAGAATATTTCATTTTGTCCTGTTAAAGTTTGGCGCCCTATAAAAATCACCACACCAAATTTGTATTTGCAAGGACATTTGATCATTCCTACACGGTTAAAGGAAAAAAAAAATGATGGGCTTAAGTGTTCTTTGGGGTTTTAAAAAGTTAAGAACTTTACATTTACAATGGCATAAAACACACTAGCCTCCATGAGGGTTTTTTTGAATTACGACGTGCTACGCGCGATTTACATATTTTAAATGTATTTATTAATATAGATGGAAATGAATAATAAAATATTAACGAATAATAAATACATTTAATAAAAAACGATCTTTTAACTAATCAAAACATTTGAATCCATATTAATAAAAACAGTATTTCAATTCCCATCTACATTTTATTGAATTTACATTAAGATTAGAAAAATAATATTTAATAAACAATTGATTGCTAGCACATTGTAAGGCTAAGCCCACTCCCTTCCTTTAGTGTAGATAAGCGCGATTTATATATTTTAAATGTATTTATATGCGTGAATTGCTTCAATATTTTTTTTTTTCTTTTTTTTATCACCAGCACTACTCACCTCTTAAGACGTTTTGCACACAGCATTCATGATTTTTCTTATTTATTATATTTTTCTTCCCCCATTACGTGGACACCATCAACTTTGTCATTTGTTTATTCTTTTCTCTCTTCCCACTTATATTTGTATTATATTTTATGATGACCAAATTACCAAATTACCAAATTACCCTTGCATGATTTGATATATTATTTTGGATTGGTTTTGAATTTTTTTTAGCTGAGGGGCATTTTGGTCCTATTTGTTTTTTTGTTGAAGCCGCGTGATCCCAAAATTTTGTCAACATGCGTGACCCCAAATTGGGGCTCTCGCTTTCTATATAAAAGATTACCCACTAGATTTTAGTTGGTGTATGCAATTTTTTTTTTTTTTACACAATGCAATAGTTTTATCAAGCTCACAAATAATATGTAGAACACACAAAATTATATATGAAACATTATCGCGCTTACATAATAATTTGTAATCGGTATATATGCGTTACAACACGAGACCTTTATAAATAAGCACCTCATATTCCACGTTGAATATTTCTCCTATTTGTGTTTAAATAGAAGCATTGCACTAAGCTTTAGTAACGTACGGATGGATGCATTTAAATATCACCATCATTTGAGTTCCACCAAATCCTAGCGTGAGGTTTGAGTTTGGAATTTGGACGGTAGACGCTAACAAAATTAGGTGGTCGGTAAGGGCATGGAGGATTGCTATAGCTATAAGTAGCATGGCTTCTTTAATAGTGCAGTTCCAAGTTCCAACGTACGGTCCGCAGTCCGCTTCTTTATCCAATTTGAAATTTCCAAGGGTTTGAAACTTTCTTTCCATCTGCCAATCAACTGATCAAGCATAAGAAAAGCCAAAAACAAAAAACAAAAACTAACAGTTCGAAAATATATTAATTATATAGGTCTCATTAATTTTGGGTATGAGATACCTGAAAACCGAAAGTATCTCATTAACATAAAGGGGTATTGTTTTACCGTTACCGAATCCTTCACTTCCCTATTCTTTCTAATCCCTTGTTCATTCATTTCGCCATACCATATAAGTTAACATGCCCCCAATATAAGGATGAAGAATTTGTTGAAAGAATGTAAAATTCCGACACTTTGGAAACTTTACAATAAAAAATACAACGTATAATAATGATTTCGTAAATCCTGAACGAAATTTTGACATAATTACTGCCGAGGATCCAAAGCCCAACTGCCAACTTCCCAAGTTGCACATGTAAACTGTACACCTTTCCTGTAGGCTCGGCCACGTTAACTTGAGGAGCCTAACCTGCCAACTTTAAAAGATCATCTGCCAAAATTTCAAAAGTCCATCACCAAGTCAATTACATCACGGAGCTTTTACCTCAACCTCCCTCCACTTATCTTTCCTTCCATACCATCTCGTCACCTTAATCAGTTCTGTCTCTGTGCAAGCACTTTTCAGATATGGCTTCTGCTTCCACCTTTGTCTTTGCATTGCTTGCCATATTTTCCATCGTTGTGGCTATTCGACCAGTCACTGCCGATCCACTAGGCAACCTACTGGCTCCTATCTTCTCTCCAATATTGGGTTTGTTTTGTTTCATTTCACTATAACTTAGTAAATTCTATCTGTTTTCAGTATTTCTTGTTTTCTGGGTTTTCTTTGGTTTTTATGTTTATTGTAAAATGGTGGATTTCTTCTGATGGCAGATGATGTGTGCAAAGAAGTAGAATGTGGAAAAGGGACTTGTAAGCCATCAAGTAATAGCACTTTCTTTTTTGAATGTGAATGTGAGCCTGGTTGGAAGCAGACTTCTAACAACACTCATCACTTCAAGTTCCTCCCTTGCGTGATTCCCAATTGTATGTCCTCCATCTCTCTCTCTCTCTCTTCCATCTCTATCTCTCCCCCTTATAAAATTATTTAAGTGGGTTATGAATTTTATGTAGTGATGTCTTTCAAAATCTGTCATTCAGTTCAAATAAGTTTGTTTTGGAAGTGTTTGCCTTTCTGTATAGCTCTTGCAGAGAAATTTTTGGTCATGGGATATGGTTGGGTGGTAACGGAATAGGCTTTATTTTATAAAATGTATGATTAGGTGGTTGAAGCCTTTCAGGATCATATTAATTTGGCTAGGAAAATCTGTTAGTTGATCGCTGCTACTCAATGTCAATGTGACAGGAGGAAATACTTGCTGCAGATGGTAAGATAAAGTATTTAGAGGTCACGATGAGCTCGTAGTCTAGTGGTACTTCTTTTGCCAATGTTGGAATAGGTTCCAGGTTCAAACGCCCCTCCCCGTTGATTAGAAAAAAGTAGCTTAGAGGTCTGTAACCAGAAGAAAAAAAAATGTTTAGAGGTGAATACAGATTTCACCTCCATATTTTAGGGAATAAAAACGGAGCAAGATACCTAGGTAGAGATTTACACACACTAAGAGAAATACATTTGGTGCAAACCTAGCCACGACAGGCTGTTCAGGCTGAAAGGCGAAAACTGTTAAGAAAAAAACGCCCATTTAATTCAATTTGGTAGGGCATGTTATGGTGAAATGTTTTTGGATATGAACCGTGCCCAGGCCTAATGTCATAATTGTTCCTGTTAATTGGAGGATATACGTGCTTGTCGTTTGATAATTTTGTTTCTTTGTTATAGGAATAACTTATAATTTGTACTAAGGAAAAGATGAAGCTGATGGTTTTCGGTGTTTGCAGGTAACCTGGATTTTTCCTGCACGAAAGCTCCAGCCCCTGTTTCAGATCAAGCGGGCAAAGCCAATGAGTCATCAATCTTTGATCGTATTAACAATTAACTCTCATACATTATATAAGTAAAAAAACTGTTTAACACGGGCACTGCGTAATCTTGTTTAGTTTTCTTCTAACATGTATTCCTGCATTTTTGTAATTTTGGTGTTACAGCTTGCTTCTGGTCGTATTGTGGAGGCGGCTCGTGCAACAAGACATCAAAATTCACATACAACTGCAAATGTGATGAGGGTTATGATAATCTTCTCAATGTCACCACCCTTCCTTGCTTTGAAGAATGTAAGAGCACAAACCTAGAAATTTTTGGGTAAGGATGATGATGTATGTATTATCGGAGGATGGCGTCTCATTAAGTTTCATTTCATGTATTAAGGTGCAATTGGAATGACCTGTGCAAACCTTGGGATTTCCGTGTCGAATAAATCTACTGCTTCGCCACCGGCTTTGTCTGACAATGGTAAGAATCAAGGTGAGGCTAGAAACTCAATTACCACATTAACTCTTTTTGACCGAATGGTGGTAATTGCCTCTCAAATTTGGACATGCCAAAACCTTAGGACGACAATTTCTGTTGTACGTACTCAGAGGACATTTACAAACCAGGTTTTTGAAAAGATCACTTGATTAAACACTGATAAACAGCATATATAATCGGGCTTGAATTTCACGCTTTTATGAGCTAGTTTGTTCGTCAATTTGATTTCAGTTGAATGCAGACTACAGACAGTTACATTAATTTGACTAAAATATAGCTGTGTGAGTTCATATTTGATGATCGCATGTTTACTCCGTCTGTTCTACCTGTTTTCTCATTTGCAGGTAGCTCGATGGTCCAAGTGAACTCTGCTGCATTGGTGATCCTCATGATGTTTGCTGCTATGGTTCATTGGAAATAAAATGAGTTGTTCCAGGCTATTTTTTGCACCACATCTTCGAAACATGGTTGATCACTGCATTGTTTATTTGATATCACGCAGCCACCTTAGTTAACTCTCACATTTGCACGTTGATTTCCGATCCGATGAACAAGTTACTGCATATACTCAGGGAAGTGCTCATCGCACTCCTATATTTATCTTTCACCAATACAAAGAGTGAAGAGGATTTTTGGTTCACCATGTTCTATTTGCCTCTCTTCCTACGTTTCTTTCTCTGGGCCTGCTCCTCTTGTCAGTCTGAGCTTGAAGATTATGGCCCAAGTAATGTGTGTTTCTTTTTCTCGACAGTGGAGCTGTCAAACGGGTTCGCCGGCAAGAGCACACCACGAGCACGGCCCAAGCCCATTTAAATAAGGCACGACACGTCACGGTTTATAAAAAGTGGGCGGGCCAGGCCTTAGATTTAGGACCACCGTCCGTTGGGCCTGTCATAGACCGAGCACGGCCCGTGGCCTTGGCCCATTATGTTTATTCATTATTTTTTAATTACAAGCGTATACTTTAAGGTTCCTAACTTAATATTCATGATATTTAGCTTAATAACATGTTCAAATAAGTTTTTTTAAATTTTAAATAACTGAAGTTCGTTTTGCTGAATTCGACCCTTTAGTGACTCGGCCCAAGCCCACGTGTGAGCCTACTTTAAGTGGACCGGGCCGAACCGGCCGTTTGACACCTCTACTAATCTTTAACATTACAAAAGTATTGAAATATGTAACATTTGAGGGTATTGTTTATGAGTTCAAAAAATCACTTAAATCTTTTATGAAAATGGCCCTTCCAAAGAGTACTTCAATTTCATTTGTAGGAAGCGCTTGGTTTTTTATTAAAAATATTATAATTCTTTTAATAAAGTGCTGTTACCGAATGCACTTTTGAGAATAAATGTTTTCTAAATATGTATTTTCAAATGGGATCAGGATCCTCTCCTGAGCAATCTCATTGGGCCGTTCAATTTTATCCAACTGTTACAAATAGGGGGTCCCTCTAAAAGGTATAATAATTATAACCGTGGAATAAAATTTGAACGGACCAATGAGCTTGCTCAAAAAGAATCCTAATCCTTTCAAACAGGCTCTTAAACACTTTTCTAGGCATTTGATTGCTCAAAAGAAAAAAGAAAAAAAATAGGAATTTTGGCTTGGGAATTTGAAAAAGATGTGACCTTTTGCAACATTATTAGATGGAGCCAAACCCATGAATCTCATATTTTGCAATCTTTGATAAGAAGGAAGGGTTGGGAAGTAAAATTTCATGTGTTCCTTCTTCAAAATTAGTCATCGACTCCGTACGTATTCTCAGAATTGAGATCCAAAATTTTACTTTCTTCAACTAGATTTACTTTTTCTTGTGATAAAATTGTAAGGCAAACAAAGGGAAAGGAAAGGAAAGTAATCATCCAACTATGGTTGTCACTCAATACTACAGTCTAATGGTTTTTTTTTTTTTCCCTTGCATATTAGAGGTCTTAGGTTTGAATCTCATGGATAGTGAATTTGATACCAAATTAAGTTATCAATTTTGTGGCTTAGCCAAACTTCCCCTCCTCTTAGTGTAAAATATATCGTTGTGCTAAAAAAAAAAATTCCCACTTTGGTTTTCTTTTCTTTTTCAAGCTTTTTATCCAAAATGGTCCTTAAGATTTGTATAACTCCTCACTTTGGCCCCCTGAGATTTGAAATCAACAGAAATAGTTCTTGAGTTTGTCCATTATCAATCATTTTGGTCATTTCTTGAAAAATCTCCATTAAATAAGGCTAAAATGACAAATATATCCACAATTTTTGTCAAACTATTTGGCCCATTGTTTATTAAATCAAGGGTATTTTTATCATTTTGGTTCTTATTTAATATAATTTTTCATTGAATGACTAAAATAATTAATAGTGGACAAAGTCAAAAACCGCTTTTATTGATTTCAAATCTCAAAAGCCAAAGTTGTGAGTTTTGCAAATCTTAAAAATCATTTTGGCTAAAAATTCTTTTTCCACAAAATGATTTTTAATTTGGACCGTTCGATCTCAACGGTCAAAAAAAAAAAGTCTTATTTAATATCCACCATTCGATCTGAGATCAACGGTGGATATTAATATGCTTATAAATAAAAAATAAAGAAAAACTAGTTTTAAAATTAAGAAAAGTTACCGTTATGACACGTGGCACAGTCTGGAGTGTTGGAATTCAAATTTTTTTATATCCAACGGCAGGGATTAATTAATCGAATAAAAATTTAAACAAAATTGTAAAAGATTCAAAAATAAAAATCTGAAATTTTTTAAAAAAAATTGTTTTTACTTGTCTATCAATACATTCTCATTATCATCTACCTTACACAACAATTTCATATTTTCTCAACTACTTTCAATCACATTCCTTTCTTTGTCTCAAAGTTTCAATCCATTTTTTTTTCAACAAAATGACCACTGGTGCAGGTACGAATTGGTCGCTTCTTGAAGATGTTGCGTTATGTATTTGCTGGGTTGAAGTTTCTCATAGTTCGCTTACAGGTAATGAGATGCAGTTGCAAGAAATATAGAGTCTTATTCATACCAATTATCTTGAGAAAATTGGTGGGAAAAGAACCAAAGAATCGATGTCCAGTCGTTGGAAATTACTTAGCCAATCGTTTAGTACGTGGAGAGACACCTTGGCACAAGTTAGTAGTAATATTCGAAGTGGGGAAAATTACTCGGATCTGGTAACAATATATTATTTATTTGATACCCAAATTTACATTATAATTATTTGTTTGTATTATTTATTTGTTACGTACTTACATTATAATTATTTGTTTGTATTATTTATTTGTTACGTACTTATATTATAATTATTTGTTTGTATTATTTATTTGTTACCTACATAATTTATTATTTATTGTGTGTATTATTTATTTGTTACCTACATAATTTATTATTTATTGTTTGTATTATTTATTTGTTACCTACTTACATTATAATTATGTTGTTTGTATTATTTATTTGTTACTTATTTTCATTATAATTATTTCTTCTCCCGCATTGTGTAGGAACTTCAAGCACAAACTTGGTATGCTGCCAAAACCAAAAGCAAAAATAAATCATTCAACCGGTGGGAATGTTGGAATATTGTCAAAGATTGTCTTAAATTTAGAGTTGTGCTAGTCGGTCTAAAAGTGCACATGAACAGCACCCCTCTACACTCCTACACCCGATCATGTCTCGCATGTTCATGAAGATGATGTAGAAGAAGTGCCCGAAACGCCCCTCCCTGAACAAGCATCGGGTTCGACCCGTTATCCAATTAGGCCTCAAGGTAAGAAGGCTTCAAAGAGAAAGGGTGTGCTTCCAAGAATGATTATGCAAAGTTCATGGAAGAACTTACTCGCCAAGGTGAATTGACTTTGGCGAGGGAACTGGCGAAATATGAGGCTGATAAGGCTAGAGAGAACGCAAAAGCTGCAGCTATTGAGAGAGAATTTCAGGCTAATGAGAGAGAATTTCAGGCTAATAAGAGAGAAAGAGAGCTACTTAGGCAAGAAAGGGAACATGTTAGAGAAGAAAGACGGGTTCAACGAGATCGTGAGATTATGAATACGCCTTTAGAAGGGAAGTATGAATAATGATACAGATTTTTGTGAAGAAGGAAGCAGAAACTAGTGAATAATGATAGAGATCTTGAGAAAATTGGTGTGAGATTTGTGAGGATGGATGGTGGATTACATGGAGGATTCAGAAAGGATTACGTTGTACATAATGCCACGTGGCATGCCGTCATTCGTTAACAATCTGATGGAAATCTATCCTCAAAGATTGTAAATAGATTATGACACGTGGCGCGACGTGATTGGTTAATAATCTTATCAGAAATCCATCACCAATAATTGTATTTTCGGATAATCACACATGACATAACGAGTACGATTAAAAAATTTATCGGAAATCCATCCCCAATAATTGTCTTTTCGGATTTTATGACAAGTGGCGCAACGACAACGATTAAAAATCTTATCCGAAATTACAAATAAAATTATTTTGTATTATTTAATAATACTTCAGATAATGACACGTGGCGCAACAAGAACGATTAAAAATCTTATCCGATATTACAATTAAAATTATTTTGTATTATTTTATAAATAAAAAAAATACTAATATTTTATTGCCTATTGCCAGGGCTATTGAAGTGTAACGGTGGAGATGCAAATGCTATTGCCAGAGCTATTACTGTTCGTTAAGGGCAGTTACTGTTCATAAGGTGGATTGAATAGTGCATAGCCTGGAGGGAAGGCTCCAACGCTGGAGTTGCTCTAAGTTGATTACCGTCAATCAGGAGAGAAAGGAGAGGTGGGTATGGGAGGGTGGGTGCAGAAGAGAGAAAAGAGAGAAGGTTGGGAGGAAAGGGGTCGTGGGGGTGAGGACTGAGGAGCAGCCTAGAAAAAATTTAAAAAAAAAAAAAAATTTGGTCCTGATAGGTAGGGTTAGAAGATGGGATAAAAAAAATTTTAATTTTTTTTTTTAATTTTAATTTTTTAATATTTATGTGGGCTCATAATGATATGTAAAGTTCAGTTACTGTTCACGTGGGTGCCACATTATTAGTTAACGAAGGTTATGACGAAAAACTTAACGGATGTATAATAGTGTCTTATAATTATGATTTTAGGTACCAAACTGAAACAAAAAAAATTGAATATATCAAATGTTAAAAATCAAGAAACTATAAACTAAAATTAACCTTTATTTTTTTGATGAAATGATTTTTACACACATTTGCACTCTTTTTAGTCCGTCGATTTTTTTTTTTTTTTATTCAACCAACCTAACATTCAAAAATAAATACGGTCTCTGTGATAAACAAATGATATGATGAAATGGAAAGGGATCCCGGATCCCTTCCACCTAATCCTATAAATCTACAAATTTGGACCTTTAAAATTTAATCTAACGGTTAAAAATAGGAGGCTCATAAAACGTTATAATAACTTGAGGTGTGCTATCCACACACCCCTTGATAATTTCTGTCTGTTGATATTCTTCAATTTATCTAATCTGACGGCCGAAAATTAAAAAGGTGTGTGAGAAGTAAAATAGAATGTGTGGATATCACACCCTAATAACTTTAGCCGTTGGATCAAATTTCAAAAGTCCAAATTTATGATCATGGTGAATTAGGCGGAAAAGATCCGAAGATGATCTTTT